TAAAAAATATATTACGAATCAGTTTTATTGGGAAACAAAAACAACAAAAAATATTTTTTTTAAAGGAAAAAATAAAAATTTGCGGGGAAAAAATGAGAAAACAAAAATTATGCAAGCGCGCCCCATGGCTAACAGCGTTCCAATTAGGGACAGTTCGACTCCGACACAGTTCGATTCTGCTCTTGTTCTGTTTTGACACATGTTCGATTTTAGGTCTGTTCGATTTTGGAAGCGTTCGAATTCGTCGTACCCCCAATCTTAAAGCCGCCGCTTGTTTTGATCTACGAGGCGGAGCGGGAAAACTAACATTTTGGACTTCCCACTTGGGTTCAGGCGAGGGGGTCAGAAAAAGCGCCCCTCGTAGGCCAGAAGAAATTTCATAATTTTAAAATGAACGCGGGTTTGAACTATATCATGATCTATTTCTTAAAAATCAACGGGTTGCAACGCGCGTATTCTCGCTCATCGTTTAAAACTGTGATACTCAGCCAACGAAGTTCGGCAGCGAATTGAGAATTTTTGAAAAATTTACTGGGGCGCGCTTTCTGACCCCCTCGCTTGAACCCAAGTGACTTCCGCCTCGTTCGGACCATTTTCAACGTTTTCCCGTTTTGAAACTGATTCTAAGGATACTCCTAGAGATACCCAATCATATTTTAACCGAAAAACCTTAAATTAAGTTAAGAAGCTCCTACTAAATTCATATAAAGTATATTCCCTTTTTACAGTATTGTTTTTTGGGGCCGGAGCCTCGTAAGTCGATACGAGCGAGATTTTCAGGAGCCAGTTTTTTTTTAATTCGACAGTATTATAATTGTCATCAGTTCCCTTGGAATTTTGAAGGTCAAAGTACATTACTATAGATTTTTAGAAAGATACTTTTTCGTTGGGTGTGATCTTTGTGTCGCATGATGCTTGGTTTTTTTGGTGATAATGACGTATCACATTGGGAAGAGTTTTTAATTGACTTAATTGTGTTTTTTTTGTTCAAAATCAGACTTTGAACAATTTTCCGGTTAAGAGTATACTTTTAACGAAAACATTTGTTTATACTTTGAACTCATATTCGATAAAAATTCAAATTGCTTCTCATTAATAGTAAAACTTCGAACAATATATGATATATATTGTCTTGAAACCCAGTTCCATTTCTCCCGTTTCTTTATTTCTTCCTTCAGTCATAGTTGTTTTCTATTTTCCAATTCGTCTTATTGTCTGACCGTCTCCTCTAATTACTATACCGTTTAGCAATCTCTCTTCTGTCTCGTACTCATCATCATCAGTTTCGCCCGTCACTGCAGCTATTGCTGGTAGCGCTCTCTTTCTCTCTCTCTCTCTCTCTCGCTCTCACAATCTTCTCTAAACAATACCTTTTTTTTGGTATGTGCGTATGTATACGTCTGAATGAACTTACTCTGTTTTAAGTGGTTAACCAGAATTTCAAAACCATTCAATAATCGAAATTTTGACACCGTTCGAAAACAGTTCATATCCGATGGGCTTTCTAAGAATTATGGAACTGTTCAAAAGGCATCACAGGGGTTTTTGATAAAAATTTCAAAGAATTGTTCCTGTTTTGCTGGACTATTTTGCGAATTTTTGATTTAAAAATAACCAAAAAAAACCTTATTTCATGGCCAGAAAAGTTGAAGCTTTTTCTAATAATTATTTCCCAACAGAAACTAAGTTTTTTTTTTGGCAAAACAACAATCTTCGCAGACAGAATAGATAATCACTGTTTTTTTATCAATGTAAACATGTAACGGTTGTTGCACATGATCTCTGATCTTACTGCCATGTTCTGTTTGATTCGTTTACTATTTCTTCTTATTTTTTCGCTGCTCTCTGTTTGCTATAGTAATAATTTGCGAGAGAATACCAGAAGACTAGTGGTTTTTTCTCGCCGAATCAACTCGAGCTCTGTGATTCTTGCGTAATTTGTAGTTCTCCAGTCTTTGCTTTAGTTGTGTTTGAACGCATCGTTTCAAATAGGCTCAACGTCTGTTGCGTTTGTTTTCATTTTTTCAAGGATGCGTCTTGCTAGATAAGAAGAAGAAGATAACTGTTTTTGTATATTGAACACAGTAGGAAAAAGGAGGAAATAGTTCTTTAATTTTTTCCCATTTTTTGAAGTTTTTTCTCGTTCGCTAGCTGTCTATCTCAATTCTTCTTACCGTCAACCGGTTCTTCAGTTTGAAATCACTCGAAACACAATTCGTCTCGACGTAATTTTCCACCAAACTGCAGCTGGGACACCTAGGCGATCAGAGATTATATATACTTCCTCCTTTTCTATTGCGATGCTTTTTTTAAAGCGCGATTTGCCATCTAAATAACTATCATCTCGCGCGTTCACTACTTTTGTAATACGAGTTTTTCTACTGGCTATCCGCTCGAAGAAAATACCTGAAGCGGTTAGAGGTCAAATGAAGGAGCAATTAAAAATTATCCGAATTCATTAAGCTAAGGGAACATTAATTTCATAGTTTATAACTTTGGTAATGATATCAATAGCTGACTTAGTCAGTTATTGATATCAACAAAAGTTATCTATGTGCCTCTTATCAATGAAGAAGAAGAAGGCGAAACAGAAGGAGAAGAAGGCAAAGCAATTTGATGGATAGACTTGGGAGGATATTTGATGAGATAAGAGAGATGATCGTGAAGAAGAAGAAGCTGGCTGGTTATAAAGAATGCATTTACATTTTCGCGTCGTTCCTTCGCTCATTCTGTGATCTGTTCATTTCAACAGTTTCGACTAATTATTAATATTCAATTTAGTGACACTTGCAGTATCACTGTCTCTTATCTCTAAAAAATAGTACACAAACTTTGTTTTTTTAGTAGAATTCGCATATTGTATACTGATAGTTAAGAGTTTTTAATGTTGGTGTTCTACCCATAATTCTTCATATTATGAATGGAATTTAGTTGCATGTTGCGATGGGTCTGACTAGCTGGGCTGGCTGCTGCTGTGCAAACTGCAAACATCTATTTTGATAATGTTGAAGAGAAAGAGAGAAGTGAACGAAAATGAAGAGAAAATGAAAGAGAGGGTGGACAAGAGAGCACTAAGGATGACCGTAGCTGTGTGTTTCCTATTCATCACTCGTTAACTATTTTCTGTCGTCGGGGAATGTTTGTAGTGCATGGATCTTTGTTTGGATCGACTTTTTTAGCTCTACTTTCTAATCAGTTTTGTTAGACAAACGGTAAATTGACTTGAGACCCAGAAATCGATTTTAGCTACACCTAACGGATAGAAAGAACGCGTTTTTGCTAAGCTGCGTAGTGTTGTTAAGTTAAAAACCTCAGATATTTTAAATTGCCAATGGTAATCCAAATACAAAATAAATTTTTTGTTATTACACCTTCTTGGGTCTTTCCGTCTACTCTCCTGTTGTTTCATTCTTTCCATCTCTCATGGTCTCACAGACTATTTTCTCCGCCAATCGAAAGAATCTCGCTAGTTTTTATCTTTCCGTCATCCACCGTCTCGCTCATCGATTTCTCTCGATCTCTCGTCTATTGCAATGTAAAAGAAGTATATTCGTTGAAAGAAAACAGTTCCCATTTTCTCTCCTATTTGATATATATATATATATAATATATATATATCGATAATACTTAGTTCCGCTTCCATTCTCATCGTTAGTAGCAATATCATTATCACATTTAGTCTGTTGATACAACTTTCTTTCACAGTTTTTAGCGGGAAATAAGGAAACGAAACTTTCATATCTAAATCTAGAACGTCTTTAAGAGTCTTTCGTCTAATTCTCGTCTGATCCCAACTCTATTTTCTCATATCGGATGAATTCCGAGAACGAACGTATCTCTCTTCCTCTTCTTCACCCCCGCTTTGTTGTTTACTCTTTTCTTGACTGATTTTTTCCCTAGTCTGTTCGAGAAAAAATGATATATTTTTGCTATGTTTTTTCCGAATTCCTATTCATCCACTAAGTCGTCTGTTCTTTTATGAACCCTTTGAGAAGTTTCAAAATTTGTCCGTTTTCCGGCATTTTTTTAGATTTAGAAACTTATTATTTTCCAACTTGTTTGGAGGTTTTTAATGCAAAAGTTGTTGAAAATCAAAAGTAATCGAGACAAAAGGATCGAAAGTTTTAGGTTACGGTGGTTATATATGCTTCGATACTGCGCTATTTAGAATCAATCGTTTTTTTCTTGTCAACAGTTGTTTTGTTGTGTTGTGAGGAAACCTGGTATCCGTACTTTTCCGCTGTCTTTATAGCTTTCTCTCTCTCTCTCTCTCTCGTCTATTTGACGTGGGAGCTTCTCAAAAACGATTGTCTAGATGTATTATCTTATCATTCTCCTCTTCACACCTCTTGTATTCTCAGACGCTCTGATCATCAAAATCTTCGTTATGTTTGATTTTTCCCCCGGATTTCCGGAGCACCCGAGCTGTGGAATGTTTATTTCTCTCTTGTGGTTTTTATCAACTAATTTTGTCGAGTTTCAATCATTCGAATTTCATATCTTTTAATTTTTACAGATGGATGAAGAAAGCAGAATATCATCATCACATCACCCTTCAACGTCGTATACTGGTGTGTCAGAGTCGGATTCTGAGATACAGAAAACGTCGGACGGTCTGAAACTGCGCGGACAGTCCCAGCAACAAGAGCAACCGTGTACTTCAAAATCCCAAAATGTAAAAGTAGCATAACTTGACAATTATATTCTAATTTGTTAAAATTAAGATGGAAACTCGTGATTTTGGATACTCTGATGCTCTTCCATTCGCTCCATGGCGGAGGAAACGATATGGTCTAACAGTGCAAGGGTTACATGAAGAGATCGTGGATCTCTATCACTGGATTAAACCAAACGAAATTGAAGTTAGACTTCGAACAAAGGTTTATGAGAAGGTATGACTTTTCAAAATTATTTTTGTAATACGAATATTATCGCTGTCAGAGAAAAAAAAAAGGTTAGAGAGTATTTTTTGCAGTCTGAATGCGGTAGCAAACTCGAAGCGGCAAGCCTAAATAGCACACATTAGGTGGAGACGCAGAGAAAAACTGTCTGCGTCTCATCCTTTTTTTTCTCAGACAACAATAATTGCTTTTCACAGGTTCGCGACTCAGTTTCACAGCGCTGGCAACACAAACCGATAAAGATTTCAATGTTTGGAAGTCTTCGAACGAACCTCTTTCTTCCTACTTCCGACATTGATGTTCTCGTCGAGTGTGACGATTGGGTTGGAACGCCTGGAGATGTAAGTTATATATTTTTAAATCTGAGATTAATGAGAATCAATTGTAGTGGCTCGGCGAAACTGCACGGGGTTTGGAGAATGACAATATTGCTGAGTCGGTGACAGTTTTTGGAGGAGCGTTTGTTCCTATCGTCAAGATGGTCGATCGGGACACCAGATTGAGCATCGACATTTCGTTCAACACTGTTCAAGGAGTTCGAGCAGCTTCGTATATTGCAAAGGTAGTATTTTGGATGATCTACCCAGACATACAATGGAAGTTTGAAAGAACTGCTCATTAGCACCGGAATAAGTTTTTGTTGACCATACAATAATGTTTATAATGACACAAGTTTCAAAAGGGTCAACAATGTTATTTCAGGGCTTTAAAGTTGTTTCAAGCTTTGTTATACTAACGGTTCATGGATCAATCTCATTTACGTCCAAAACCAAAAGTTTCTAAAACATGTGAATATTGCAGGTCAAGGAAGAATTTCCACTCATCGAGCCGTTAGTACTTCTCCTAAAGCAGTTCCTCCATTATCGTAACCTCAATCAAACGTTCACTGGAGGTCTTTCTTCATACGGTTTGGTCCTCTTGCTTGTGAACTTTTTCCAGGTGAGACTTTTCGATTAAATATTCCTTTAAATGCTCTCATTTCAGCTCTACGCTCTCAACATGCGACATCGGACAATCTACGACAGCGGAGTCAATCTCGGACACTTGTTACTTCGATTCCTGGAAGTTTATTCAATGGAGTTTAACTACGAGGAAATTGGGATTTCTCCAGGCCAGTGTTGTTACATTTCAAAGTCTGCAGCTGGGGCTCGATATGGTCACAAACGTGCTCAGCCAGGCAACCTTGCTTTAGAAGACCCACTTCTTACTGCAAACGACGTCGGACGTTCAACATACAATTTCTCATCGATTGCCAACGCATTTGGTCAAGCGTTTCAAATTCTTGCAGTGGCTGTCACATTGAGAGAAAGAAAAGGGAGAAACCAACTATCAAGAGTCTACAAAGGGTCTTTACTTCATATGATCATGCCGTTTACCTCCAAGGAGCTTACCTACAGAAACTGGTTGATGAGTGGAGTTATGTCGTTTCCTTCACAGGATACTTCGGTCACATACAACTTGAACCAATTGCACAATACTCTTGTCTCCCCAATGATTGATTTGTCACGATATGCCTGGCTTCGTAAGACTACTGCCGGGGCAGAGAAACGAGATTCCAGACCACTCAAAATCACCAATCCAGCCGATGATGTCAGGAATCAAGTTCTCCTGCAGTTACGAATGAAAGAAGCAGAAGAGTCGAAAGAAAAAGAAGAATCTGTTTCAAATAAAAAAGAAGAACAAATCACCGCTACCACAGAAACAGAGACAGAAGAAGACGAAGCTACATCTATAAGTTCGCATGAACGACAAGAGAAAAGTGTAAGCGGACGGATTCTCACCGGTCCGCCTCTTCCGACATCTACTGCCTCCGTAAATACTTCTGCTACCGTATCCACTGCGGCAAGCATTTCTGAACGCGAAGACACTGATTCACCCGAACTCTCTTCATCCTTGGGGAACCATTCGTCTGAAGAAGACGATGATGATCCAGTAATGAACGACGCTCGAAAGAAGTCGACTGGAGGCGTCCCTGTTCAGTTCAAAAAGCAATTCAGTGACGTTGTCAAGACGCCGAAAGAGTTTTCTAGGAAAACACAAACGAATTTTGATGACAACAAAACAACAACAGGTATGTCATGAAAAAAAAATCGTATTTTGGGCCTATTGAGAAAACTAAAATTTTTTATGAAAATCAGTTTTTTCTCGGAAATTACTTATATTTCATGTAATTCTCAGTAAAACTCGACTTAGCCGCGGAGGTTCAACTGGTCAATTTCCTACGATAAAAAATAGTATATTTTCAGGATCCGTGGGTCAGTCATTCATGAACAACCATCTCTACTATCCCGAACCACAACCAACCGCCAGTCGCCGTAACGGATTTCTTGATTACGCCGCGGTTGCGGCTGCTTCATGTGGCTCTCATAAACACCGACAAACGTATGCACAGCGAAATCGTCAGAGTAGAAATCATTCACAAGGCTCCGATGCTTCGGACGGATATGACTTGGATAGAAAGGGCTTGAACAACAATAACAGTTCTCGGGCTAGAAGGAATATGCGCGTTCCGTCCAATTCATCGAACCGATCAAGACACTCGTCTGACTCACGAAGTCGTGGACGTCCGAATCAAATGTACTTTCCTATGCCACCGCCTATTGATTTCCAGTCTCGCAGATCACAATTTGTGGAGGCAAATCTAACCGAAGAAAATGGACATGGCTCTTCGTTGCCATTAATAACAGATGAACCTCGATCTCCTCGGATGTATGCTGACGCTGTCAAAAAGAAGTCATCACTTCCTGGTGCACCAATCACTTCTGTTGACCTGAACTTGGTCAACGGGAACACCACAAGAAACGGTACTGCTTCCTTTTTCGATACACAATACCATTTTTCATTCAACAGGTGTAGCATCTCAAGCTTCAACATCAATGATGGCACCTGTTTCCAAGACTGAACGATCCTATCGAAATGCTGTTGCTATCCCAAGTGCTTCGCAAGCAGTCGTAATTTCTCAACCAAAACCCAGTCATCCTACAATGCGCAAAGACAATGATTGCGGACTCGACACTCAATCGTTGAACAGCAGTTCATCTGACCTGAGTCGCCAACCACAGTTAGTGCCCATAGTAAGTTATTTTTTAAATGTGTGATTTGTTCTGTTATGTAATGTCTTGTTTCAGGGAAGTCGACTGACTAGATAATGTTCTTCTCCACAGCACTTCATTTATTCTTCATATTTTTCATCTCATACCGATAACAAATTTTTCTCTTACCAAAGCACATCTAGAGTTATTTGCCCAGACTTTACAAGTTCTACATACGTTTCGCCCCGTTTAGATCCACTTTTTTCCCAGTGTTAGTTTTCAATTGAAAAAAACCCCGTAGATTTGAAGAATATTCTATGTTTTCCTTCTCTCTCACATAACCAATTTCGTTGTTACCCTCATCTCTCCACCATTTCCTATATAATTCTGATGCTCGTTTAGATCAGTGGTGCACTTGGTCTGAACTAGTATTTTTCTCGCACATAGCTGCCTTTATTGTTTTTTTTTCTATTTTCCATATTTCTCCCGAGTTAATATCGTTCGATTCATCATTGATTATTATGGTTTACTTTTCGCCCCGAACGTCGTGCACTAGCTATGAAATTTCCGGTAATATCTCGCTTCCCTCCCACGAATTGCAACCTTTCGTTTTGTTTTACTTACCCAATTTGTCCTTCTGCTTATGTATAACTTGGTTAGCTGTCAAACCACTTCCAATTTATAGATAAGCAAGAATCAGTCTTTATCCCTTCGCGAGTCACGATAATTTCGTAATTTTATAATAATTGCTTTATAATAATTACCAATGTGATAGGCTCTGTCTCGTTCTGGGAAGAATTCATGCTGTTGGACCAAGCTTCTGTCAATTGCAGACTAACGATGCGACAGTGTTTTTTCTCTGTTTTGTTCTCCTCCCCAGTTTCCTTTAGTATATCAAGTCATTATTGGTCCTTTTTGTTCTTTCTACCCCCATCCTAAGCTCTCAGAACTCCAATCTTCTCTTTCTCGTGTACTGGAATAGTAACATTTTTGGTCACTGCTTTCCAAACGCACTACGAATAGTCTCAAGCGGGTTTCCTAATGCTCTTCTCTTTTCTACCACATTTTCCATTACAATTCTGCCAACAGTCTCTATTTCTGTCTCACACTCCGGTTTCCGTTTTCCATTCTCCCAACGCATCCCACATATAACCTTCCTCCCGAGTCAGTTTTATTCTTCATTCTTCATTGCACTCATCCTGAAGGCTCTTCTAACGGATATTATTATTTCCTCATGTCATTCATGAAGTCTTGGTGTGTGGTAGGGTCTCTGTAATTATTGATGTACGCCGCTTCTCTAAATAAATGATTTATTGTATTCTGGGAAAATTGTTTTCTTGTACAGGTTTTTACATGATAGAATCAAAATGAGCTGATCTCCCGAATCATAAAAAAAACTGTCATCTCGTGCTCGCAGACTCATCAGAAGTATATTATGGTATAATTCAAAAAGTAAATAAAATTTTGGATTTTCAATTTTTAGAATTTTTCAAGTTTCGGAATTTCTGAAACTTCGAAAGTTTGAATACCGGAAATCTATATTTCCGAATTCTCGAATTTTTGAAGTCCCAACCCTTCGAGTTTTTTAATTTTCAAATTCCCAAACTGCGAACTTCTCAATTTCAGAACTTCCGAATATGTGAATCTTGGAATATCCTAATTTTTAAACTTGATTATTTCCGAATTTCTGAACATTTAAATGTTCTTAAAATTCGGTTTTTCAAGAGTCTTTACTGATATTCTGAATTTCTGACATTCCGAATTGGGACATTTCCCATTTTCAGAACTTGGTCGTTCTGATATTCTGAAATTCTGAGTATTTCGAATGTTTCAGTTTTCAATTTTTTTTTTTTCAAACTTCTGAATTTCTGGATTTATGACTTTTAATTTTAGATTTCCATAATTCCAACTTTCGGAACTTCCGATTTTGCCTTTTTGAGAATTTCTGTATTTTTTGAAATGTTTTTTGCTTCATCACAGTCATGGCTTCATCAAAGTAGGGTTGGCAGCGGGGCTCCCGCATTAACGCGGGAGCCCCCTAAAAGAGGGCGAGGCGATGATTCGCCCCCGCCCCGGGAGAGCATGAATCATTTGACTTGAAAATTTCAGGATAGCCTAGTTTCGTACCTTGAAGCTGAAAAACATTAATAAAAATGAGGTTACTGTAGGTATACGGTAACTACAGTAACCCATTTCTTGTAACTCAGCCCAGAATGAATCAGTTGACTTGAAAATCTCAGGATAGCCCAGTTTGGCATCCTGGATTTCAGAAACAGTTTCTTAAACTAGACTACTGTAGGTATACGGTATCTACAGTAACCCATTTTTCGTAACTCAGCTCAGAATGAACCAATTGACTTGAAACTTTCAGGATAGCCTAGTTTCGTACCTTGAACTTGAAAAACATCATTTAAATTTAAAGTACTGTATGTATACGGTAACTACAGTAACCCATTTTTTCTAACACAGCCTAGAATGAGTTTATCAAAGAAAAGGAGTTTATTAAAGTGAATAGAAAAAATTAGAATGCGAAAAAATTGAGACTAGTGGAAATTGTTTTTATAAAAATACGAGATCATGATCTGCTCCATCAGCCAGTCTTTGGTTCGGTACCTATCAGAAGTAATCACTTGTTTCACAGCACTAAAACTCCTCTTGCAAATGGCTTCGGATGTAAACACTGCGAAGTATCTCATCGCAATTCTGGCCAGTTTTGGGAAGCGAAAACGTCTTTCGTGTCAATATTTTAATGGTGAAATGATTTCAGCTGGAACGGGTTCTTCTAAAAAGGCAATATACTCGTCTCTGTTGTCAGCAACTTCGATATCATCAAAGTCTCTGAAAAAGGTTCTGAACTGAGTTACGAAAAATGGGTTACTGTAGATATCGTATACCTACAGTAGTCTAGTTTATGAGAATGTTTTTGAAATCTAGGATGCCCAGCTAGGCTACGCTGAAAGTTTCAAGTCAATTGGTTCATTCTGGGCTGATTTACGAAAAATGGGCTACTGTAGATACCGTATACCTACAGTAATATCATTTTTAATAATGTTTTTCAGCCTCAGGGTACGAAACTAGGCTATCCTGAAATTTTCAATTCGATTGATTCATTCTGGGCGAAGTTACGAAAAATGGGTTACTGTAGATACCGTATACCTACAGTAGTCTAGTTTATGAGAATGTTTTGAAAATCCATGATGCCCAAATAGGCTACGCTGAAAGTTTCAAGTCAATTGGTTCATTCTGGGCTGATTTACGAAAAATGGGCTACTGTAGATACCGTATACCTACAGTAATCTCATTTTTAATAATGTTTTTCAGCCTCAGGGTACGAAACTAGGCTATCCTGAAATTTTCAAGTCAATTGATTCATCCTGAGCTGAGTTATAAGAAGCGGTTGAATTTCTGGGGCGGGGGCGCATCCCCGCCCCACAACCCGGTGCGGGGGCGAATCCCCGCCCCGGGGGTGCGGGGCGGGGATTGCCCCATTTCGCCCCATAGCCAACCCTGCATAAAAGAAACACAACTTTTTCATAAGATTACGAGTATTGTGAGCATGAGCAAGGAGATCTATCCCAGAAGGGGCGTTGAACGACTAGGATTAAATAATATTTCGGTATAATTTTTTAAGCACTGTTGAATTTATAGATTTATCTTAACAAAGTCAGAGAGGCCTCATAAAACTTTCAGATATCGGAAATTTAAGATTCCACCAAAACTTGTGGACCATAATTGGTCTGATGATCCTATTTGTTACACCCAGGAGATCCAGAAAAATCACAGGACCGCTAAAAAGACGCCGGCAGATAAATAGCTGTTTGTCACAGTCTGACCGGCAAAGACGGACCGTTGACGGAAGACGGAAGAAGGAAGAAGAAACAATGTTTTGAAAAAATCCTATTTTTTTAATTTTAAGAATCACATAATAGAGTCATTTAGGCTCAATTAAACGATAGAACAAGTAGTGAATTTCAAAAGTTTTAATTTTCACATCAAAGTACTGAAGTTTCAAAAATTTTTGTTAAGTCTTAATAATTTTTAATTTTCTTCAACAAACGAATTAATTGTTCACATTTACATTGAAAACTATCAAAAATCAAAATATTGATTTCCTTGTATTTTTTCCAAGGTTCTCCATTTAACAGTTTTAAATTTTCCCCATGACACATATCGAATATTTATTTGTTGAAAAAACACTTTTCTCCCAAAAAGTTAACGGTTTATCTTTTGGGAGATTCGAAAGATTAACGTAGCTCACAAAAGATTGGAGACCCAACTTTTGGGAATTTTAAAAGATTCAAGTGGCTCACAAAAAATTAACGGCCCAACTGGTGGGAGTTTAGGAAAAGAGGATGTGGTTACAATTTAAAAAGTTAACACATAAAGTTGTTAAAAGTGTTGGGACCTGCTTCCGCTTTCAAGTATTGTACATATCGAGAATCTGGGCCAATTTCTCACATTTTGATTTTCAGCTTATTTGATCACTGTGAAGCTTATCAAAAAAGCTCCCACCACAATTCCTCAAGAAATTGGCCCAGATTCTCAATACTTGAAAGCGGAAGCAGATCACAGAATAATTCAAAACTAAAAAATTCCTAATTGCATTGAAACCCTATTTTTGATAGTTTCCTCACAGTTCTTTTTGTTTCCTTCCCATCCTTTTTTAACCCAACACTTTTAACATCTTATGTTAACTTTTTAAATTGTAACCACATCCTTTTTTCCCAAACTCCCAAAGCTGTGCCACTGCCGGCCGCGGCCACCCGCGGCCGGCTTTTACCACGGCCGAGCCGGCCGCGGCTTCAGAAAAAATATTCGAAGAAGCCGCGGCCAGCCCAGGTTAGCCGTGCGGCTTTTCACGGCCTTTTGAAATAATTTTTTCATGAGAAACGTAGATTTTTTTTGAAAAGTAGGACAAAAAAACGAAATTATTCAAAAACCACCTAATTGATTTTCACTTCACGCGTTTTTATGAGGCTATCCGCGGCCGGCCTCGGCTTGCCGCGGCTTTTCACGGCTTTCACAAAAAAGCCGCGGCCGGCCTCGGCCTCAAAAATCGAGCCGCGGCTGAGGCCGGCAGCGGCCAGCCGCCTTTTTGCACAGCCTTGCAAACTCCCAACAGTTGCCGTAAAACCTCTAATAGAACGACACCCGGATTGTCCACTTTGAGCCTATATATCTCACTTCTTTTGAAAGATATCAAAAAGTGGCTAACTAGTAAAATGTTGCTGATATCCTGATAAACATTTTACTAGTTAACCACTTTTTGATATCTTTCAAAAGAAATGAGATATATAGGCTCAAAGTGGACGATCCGGGTGTCGTTCTATTAGAGGTTTTACGGTGGGCCGTTAACTTTTTGTGAGCCACGTGAATCTTTTGAAATTCCCAAAAATGGACCGTTCACTTTTTGTGAGCAACGTCACGGTGAGTTTTTCACTACCGCTGCAGCGCGCTGCTTTCAACTTTGGAATTTTTTTTTCTCGAATTCTAGCCCAAGGATTTTTTTTCGTTCCATAAATTTTTTGTAAATTTCATGAAGAATATATAGTAAAAAAATGAATCAGATTTTTTTGTCCATTGTACTTTAAAACGTCGCAGACTGTTTCGCATTTCGGTAGTGAAAAACTCACCGTGCCACGTGAATCTTTCGAATCTTCCAAAAGATGGACCGTTAACATTTTGGGAGCAACGTGTTTTTTCAACAAATAAATATTCGATATGTGTCATGGGGAAAATTGAAAACTGTTAAATGGAGAACCTCGAAAAAAAAACAGTGGAAACATCCAATGAAAACCACAAATTTCAAATTTTCTCTGAAACAAAAAAAATTTGACCGAAAGCACAATGATTTCTCATTTTTATGGGCGTTTCGATACTTCCTGGCAAAAATCACAGAAATATTAACACTTTCTGAATGTTTTTCCCAAAATTAAAACTTTTGAAAATCACTACTTGTTATATTATAAAAACTGTTCGATATCTGGAAGTATAATAACAAAAATCAGAAAAACGGAACAATGAAGAATAAATAAGGAATTCTGCTCATCTCTGATTTGAAGTCCTGGATTTGAGTAAAAAACTGAAAATATAGAAAAGAGATAAAGACAGTATTCTAATATAAATCAGTTTTTATGGGTTATCATTTTTAATAATATTCAAAATCAGTTCAACTTCATCCCACTTCTTCTTCTTCTCATCCCTCTCCGTTTCGAAATCTTCAACAATCTTATCAATCTGAAACAAATAAATTAATAAACCTAGAAATAAATAACCCATTACAATCTCAGTTTCATGCATCAATTGACCCAAATTCCATTCCAATGATTCCAACGCATTCGAAATTTCCTCTTCGCATCCAGATTCAAGTGCCAGAAAGACGCTATCCATTATTTCTAATCGATTGATTTCTCTCAATTTTGCAGAATTATAAGAATCAGAAGGCACATTTGTCGAATCGATTTCATCAGAAAGACAGATTTTATTCATTTCTTCCGAAAGCATAACTTGTAATCGGTTAGGCGATTCCAGCTCAATTGCCGTTTTGGTCTTATCAACTCTAAAATAATCAATTTAATGTTTGGTTTTAACCGTTTTTAAATCCTACATTTTACTTCTAGGCAAAGTTTGTGGAGAAGCAATCCGGTCTTCTGGGAGAGTTTCTCTGAATGAAACCATGGAAAGACGACGGCGAATACTGCCGAAAATAGCACGAGATTCTTGACGCCTTCTGATTCTTCTGATTTGATTCAGTCGAACACCATTTCTGAAACATTCTATGTTTACAGATTATATTATGAATAAAAAGGCTCCAGAACCCACCTGACAGCTCTAGGCTCCACTGGAGTGATTATGACAGGTGTAGAAATTTGAAAAGGGCTCGAATAGGCTTCTCTGCAAAAACTAAACTGATTCAACGGAAAAAACAAAAATGTCAAACGTGGGATATGGGTTGGGATGTGGAGTTAAAACTTCGGAAGTAGGTGTTCCAGGGAAATCAATCGGACGGTGAATGGTGATTGGAGGAAACTCGGGAGAAGAATCAAATGATGAGATTGTTGAATTCTGTGTATTGGCCATAGCAGTTAGTAAAGTAAAGTGTTAGTTGTTCAAATAGAAGAATAAGTTGAGGTAGAGTCTATCCTATGACATTTTTTTGAAGTTTTATTTTGGAGAAACGTGGAAAAATTATAAGAACATCTACGGGATAACCCGTTGGGCGTGATGAACATGAAAACAAATAGGTTGATTGATGAAATATAGAAAAAAAAATAAATATGAACAAAATAAGAAAACAGAGAGAAATTTAGTTCTCATTATATTTATTTATTTTAAGAATGATGATTTGAGACACACAAAATTTATAATAATGCAAAAGTTTTCGAATCCACTTCTTTTCACTCCGACGACAGCGATCAGAGTATTTAGAAAAGAGGACACGGAACCAAAATTATGAAAAAATGGACAAAAAAATAAGTACAGATGGACAGAAAATCAGTAAAAAAGGACACACAATTATAAAAATATGAAAAGAAAATCAGTAAAAATGAATTAAAAATTATGAAGAAATGGGCAAAAAATCAGTAAAAATGGATCAAAAAAATTAGAAACTTCAAAGATGTACTGATTAGCCAGGCTTTGAGCCTGTTGATCCCTTTTGCCGCATAGAGGCTCAGTACGTGAAAGAGAATCTGGTTTTTACGGGGAAAAAACCTGACAAAAAGCCACTGTCATCAGCATATGGGTGTACCATAATACTGGCATCAGGACATTGGAGGTACCATATCACTGTCATTAGCATATTTCGATACCCTGGGACACGAGGGAGTGTCAAATGAATTCATAATTTCGACTATAAACCGGAGGTCATTCATAAAAGAATACCGCCGGGATATGTTCTCATAGGAAACTCGACAAAAGACTTGCGAAAAAATTGAGTCCTGGGTAATATACCAAAATTCAAAGAAAATGATTCCAAAATGTTAAGACCTGGCAAGTTAGCCAAATTTCTTTCAGAACTCAATGGATTCTTTACATATATCATTTTTTTTTCACCTCGAACTCCAATATCCTTTTTTTCATTATCAGCTGATGATATGTTTTTGTAGATTTTAATGACCGTATATTATGGATAAAAAACCCTTCATATTTTTAACAGCTGACTGATGTGCCTTTATCGCAACCTAACCTAGTTTTTACTGGATTTTGTTTCGTAACGAACTTCCTTTCATTAGTGTATGTTAACTTTCAAGTTTAGAATGTTAGCTCATTTTATAAAAAGATCTTGAAGGAAACATGTGTCCATCAAATTAAAAAATTGAACAAACTAGAAGGTATCTCCAAAGTTTACTTTGAAGTAGGTCTATTTCTGCTGACTTCGATTGTCCTGGTGTTCTGATTTTTCATTGTTGGATTTCTGTAATTTTAATCCCATACGTGTGATCAGAATATTAGTTTCTTAAATTTATAAATTTACACTCTCCCACTCATTTTCGGAATCTTTTGAAGGAAACACTACTCGCAAGCCTTCTTATGATGAATCCTGCAGATCATTGGAACCCTGGATGGCAACAGTTTGTTTTGAATCAGCAGAGAGCACAGGCCGGGGGTAATAGACAAGCACAGCCACAAGCAGCGTTGAACCAATTTGTACCAGCTAGACAGAATAATGAGTAATTCTTTATTTTAAAGTGTATATGGAATAGTTACGATATGCAGAAGAAATGGACAACAACAACGTCGCAACAACGTTCCCGCTCAAAACAGAAGAATCCAAAATCGGAATGCGGTTCGCAGAGAACACCGTAACCCTGCGAGAGAGCTAATAGTGAGAACCCGAAGAATGATAATTGAATACCGTAACCTTTCAGACACGAGACGACTTGGAAAGAATCGAGGCAACGACACGTAAAAACTTTCAGACACGGACTGCATTGGAGTACGATAATAGAGAGAATCAGTGTTGGTTGAGCATTTTGAGTTGGTGATCTAAATTTAAGAACACTCCCCGAACTTTTTATTCAGATGATATTGATGAAAAGTCAAAGCAATTCTCAACAACACCGAAGAATCTAAACAGTGGAGATATTCAAGTTCAAAGCGAGGAGAATATCTGTTCAAACCTTCGAGTCGAAAATCAAAATGAAACTATCCTAACGACGAAAGAACTCCTGCCTAATTTTGATGCCATAGAGCAAGAACTCAGTGATGCATTGGCTAATCTCGAGATACATTTGAGAACCAACGCTCTGGAATACGAACTTGTTAGTTCTTCAATTAATACAGTAATACCCACATATGTTCAGATCGATAATCTATACGTTGATCTCATCGAAAGTGTTGGAAAACTAACAAACGAAACCAATGAACTCGATGACATTTTACGTCGTGTAGACAGAATGCGACTTCAGCAATAACTGACTTGAAATTTGAAATGAAATAAAGCTTCGACTTTTGATTTGTTCACCCAGTTGTTGAAAAAATGTTTATATCGAAACTAGGTCATTTTACAAAGAGAAAAGTTGGAGACGTTAATGAATGAAGTTTAAACAAGAAAGTGTGTCAAATCAGTTTTTGGCATTGATAATAGTTGCGTTGCGCTCACAAATAGATGTATACTGTAGAATGCACGGATAGTAGAATGTGTACGAAACAGACCCGATTGTCACGGGAGACTGGTAGACAGCAGCACAGTTAGCGATTGATGACCATCCATTAACACTTGGTTGGTATGGTTTGATGAGCCAGTTACTGAAAACATGAAGTTTTAAGATGTGGTGTTTGTTATGCTGGTATGCAAAAATCGGAGCTGCGGAAGAGAAACGCTGGTGGCCGTGGGAAAAGGTTCCACAACGCTAACTACAGTAACCTAAAAATATGTATCTTTTCTGTATTTATTTTCTCGTGTTTTACTCCTTTTTGTCGCTTTTTTTATTATTTGTCTCAAAAAATCCGGAAAAAAACTATTTTCAGGTTACGGTAGTTATCGTTGTGGGACCTTTGGCCACGGCCACTGTTGTTTCTTTTCCACAGCTCCGATTTTTCTGTCCCAGAATAATCGTGTTTAGCGCTTACTTACATCTTGGATGGATTGATGGATCCTGTTGTTTGCCATCTCGGTAATTTCTCCAATCGCTCATAATGATTGAATCTCACTAGCCCGATCCAAGAAAACGATGATTTTTCGGTGTGAGAAGTCACGACATCCCATTCATCCAAAGAATTTGCAACAAACAAAGTCGCTTGCTTATCATAGCATTTTCTTTCGGCTTTAGCGAATCCAAGGTGCTCTGTCTCGAAGAAGTAGCACGAGTCAGAATATCTCAGCCAACCATCGGGACACTGTTCGGATTGATTGATTGGAAGTGGAAGAGGGTGAGGAACTACTGGAGGAAGGTCTTCAAAAACGGAGGTTCCCAAATCGGTGTGATCCCAGTTGTAGAACGTCACTGAGAATTACGCATCATATTTTGCTCTTTATGAAAAACTTACATCTTTGATGCGGTTCATCGGAAGCATGGACAGATGGCTCATTAGTGATGATGTTTCCTGATGCTCTACAAGCGAACAATGCAAGAAAAAAGAAACCGAATAAAGAATTCATAATTTGGTTAATCTTGAATTTATAGCGAACGATAATTGATTTTGTTTGTTATTTTTATTTGCTTTAATGTTTTGTTTTTCAAATGCCAAAAAACGCGGGTAGATCATAGATCAATATTCTAGCGGAGTAGTAAACCGGAAACTTGAGTTTTGGCCTAGGCCGAAGGTCCCACAAAGACAACTACCGTAACCTAAAAACTTTTAAATTTTCCGGATATTTTTCTCAACACACTTTTCATTGATTTTCGGAGACTCCGCCGATTCCGGAAGGGGATATTTATCTGCAGCGATTANAAGAGCAGTCGCCATATCTGTGATATCTTTCTGACACCTTCCGCAATAAATATAATACACCATCTCGTATATAACATCAAAATCCATATCGTTTATGTACATCACTGACTGGAAATTTCGAATTATATAAATGGGAATTGACTGACTGACGAAACCAACCGTTCTAGCCTCATCTGTGTCTTGGGGGGTAAGCATCGCATTGAATACTGCAGAACGTGCAGCAAGAACTGCCTT